GTTTAAACCGTTTGGGGTGACGTGAGCTAATATCAAAATGCAAGCTGTGTTCTGTTCAATACAAAATAGTTTCTTTTCAACATCTTTTATTTWTATTTATCAGCAATACGTATGGAAGGTTCAAATCCTTTAGTGAGTGCACTTTATTATTTTTGACGCACATAATGAAGTAAAAGTCTCTTTTAGAATTTCCCACAACCCACCCTCTCCCCAATTCCCTGCTAGCCGAGCCTATTTTCCTTTTGTTTTGGTTGAGAGAGAAAAATAGACYCTGCCGATGTATKACGTTATTTCTGTCGCGCATGCGTGGCGTAACTTAGCAACGCTGTCATGATTTTGACAGCCGCTCTCGTCAAACAATGTTTGGCGCCACCGTGTGTTACATTTGCTCATGCGCACTACATGTAGTCGGTTAAAAACCGGTTTTAAGACTGGTTTTGTTCCTCCACGATCGTGGACGGCGGTGTATCAAAAGAAACGCTCTACATCGGCAGTCTCTTTCGCTCCCCGCCTRAAAGAAGGGAGAGAAAGAGAAGAGAGACTCTGCTRGCAGAGAATCTCYCCAATAAATCTCCTCCTCGATGTATATAGTATCTACAAGTCCTTGAAAAWGTCATTGAATCTAATACAAGAAAGATGTGGACATAGTGATCAGAAACATCGAAGCAAGCGAGAAAAGCGTGTGACTAGTAGCTCCGCTGTACGGTTTACAGATAGGATCGGTCTTGTTGACCCAGACATCTATGGCCGCGTGAGCATGGCGACCARCGACTTTGAAGATGGGTTTCAGCTCTGTAGCGTTGACTATCTCCTTKGTGGCGGGTTGGACGTTTACGGTGTGAAGGGTGAAGCTGTCTTCATTAGCGACGTTGTGCCTTCTAATAATTGAAAAGGACAAGGAAAGAATTAAAGTGATGGAATGTTGTGGAAAGGAAGGAAGGTGTTTTAAAGAAAAGACCAAGAAAGGAAGTACGAATGAAAATGAATGAACACAGATCCATGGATACATAGATGAATAGATGGGTGAGTAAATGAGTAAGAATAAATGAAAAAACATGGTAAAGAGAGAGAGAAAAAGATAATAATGCAAGAAAATACAAGTACAAGACAGATAGACTGAGCGAGGGAACGGACTCAAGGCCCTATCAAAGTTACTCCCAACTAACAGAAACTAAAGTTACGATAACACAGGAGAAAACGAATAAACGAGTCTAGTGCATCCATAAGCCAGGGGGGAAGGAAAAAAAAAAGACAAAAAAACAAACGACACAAGGGAAAACAAAAAACAAAACAAAAAAACTGGACAGGTTGGAAAGGCTTATGGAGACAACTAGCTCAATGGAAATTAAATTCTAATAGTATAAGTAGATAAACACCTTTAGATTCGACGACGAGTATGGGAACAACGAGTTTTAAAATTGGTCCTGTGCGCATGGTTAATGATGAATCGTAGTCGATTTACGATCTTTTTAAAGTTTCAATCTACATACACGACCACGACTATGATAGAGCAGTTTTCGTATGACTGTGAAAAGCTCACGATACGATAAAGGTCATGACACGGCAAGGCATACGCCAGACCAATCACA